TTTTTTTTTTTTTTTTTTTTTTTTTCAATTTCTTTCCTGTTCACCGCTGACACTGGCCACGCGCTCAGGCTGCTCTGTGTGTGCTTTTTCCCCTTTCTTTGCTTTTCCCTGCGTTGAAGAACCGTCGTTTCTCGGCCTTATCGTCCGAGAGAAAAAGTGAGCCTGAAGAGAATATGAGAGCAGAACGAGGAGCAAACGAAACGCTGCGGTCCAGCTCGTTATCCCCCATCATCATCATCATCATTGCAGCCGAAGTCATTTGGCCACCTCGTCCTCTCCAGCCTCTCGTCTTCTCCTTCTTGCTCCTCTTCACATGACGGCTTTTTCGTATGCTCAAACCTGAGAGCCACGTGAGAGAGTTGGATTTTTTTTTTCTTCCCCTTCCCTCGATGCGCTGGCGACTGTCAAAGGAATATCCCTGGTTTGTTTTAGAGATATTGTTCATTTAGACTGTCCAGTAACTCGTCGGTTACTCCGTAGTCAGCGAGTTAACGGGGCTGGTGATGGCGTCCGTTCTCCTTCCCGCCTTTCAATAATAATAGTTATGTATATATCATTCTCTGGTTAGGCGAGCCTTGCCCTCGTCTAGCTCGCAATGAACTGGCTTGCGGAAAAGAAGTCTCCGGTAAACAAGTCTAGTTGGCTTAGATTAAGGAAATCGGCTTCGTCTGTCCATCTGTTTCCCCTCGGGTTTCATCCTCGGGCCCGGCGCAGAAGGTCGTTCGGAGTTGTTGCCTCTCAGCAGATATCCTGAGCCGGCCAGCTTGCCAAAAATACATGTAAATCAGAATCAGATCGGCCGTGAAGCTGATGAAACCAGCTGGGGGCCGCGAGAGGCAGGAGAAGAAACACCTGGAGAGAGCTGCCCGCCATCGATCGAGTTGGCCGAGTATACCCCCCACGGCCCTGTTCGTTCGCTCGGTAATCGTCGAGGGGAGCGCCTCACAGCTCGACGCTGGCCTGACCAGTAGTAGCTCGTTACAAGCAGCGGCCACTTTCAGCTGCTTTCTCACCGTCATGGCGTCTGCTCGGCCTGCCGGCTGTGGCTGCGCTGGCTGTATATATGCATCGTCATCGTGGGCTTCCAGTGGTAACTAACTAGTTGGCCGTTGGCCTCGTTAGTACTTCTTGGGAGTCACAGTTAACTATGTAACTATCCAGCGGCCTCGGCCTTGGGCAACGAACGCTTCTCTCGGCTTCTCGCTGCTTGGGCTCGCGCCGGCGCCGGGTCAAAGGAGGCCTCTGCACAGGCATAAGATTGTCCAGTTATTATTATTATTATTTATGATATAAATTTTGCAGGCTGATATTTTTCAAAACTTCCCCCCTTTTTTTTGCAGCAACGTAACTATAAAAATTATTATGTATTATTAGTTAACGAGTTAGCTAGTTGACGCCGGTTTCATGAAGCACATCAATAGTGTATCAGGAAACACCCGAAAAGACAGAAAGGATGAAAAAGACGGCAGCTAACTATAAAACGTCTTCCCCATATCAATAACGGCGATGCTGATATGATCTCCCAGATCCCAGGGGGGGGGGGGGGGGGGTTGTATGTCATTGCATCATGGGCACTCCATGCCAGTGTCTCTCCTCTCCGGCCAGAAACAAAACAAAACAACACAGTCCTGGAGGGCCTTGGAGGTCCTTGCATAGACGGCTGGTCATCTGTCGATGGCTCGAAGGAGATCTGACCATGCTGTTTCTGCTCGTCCCGGGGCTCTCCTGCTTGGAGATTTGGCGTTTTGGATCTGTATTTTTGCATTTTTGCAATATTGCAACTTGTATCTGGATTTATTTTGATAGCTCTCTCTCTCTCTCTCCTTTTTTTTTTTGTAACCAAATAGCAAGTTAGGTTACCAGCTGGAGACGATCCTATATTCAAATTCAATTTACTTGAACGGTTCATCACTGTACTCTCTCCGCCAGCCCTCTATTTTCCCCATATTATTGCATCATGACTACGGATCCATGGGCCGATGCTACATATTGGCGTCTCGGAAGCCAACTGGGCCCCGTGTTTTAGGTACTTTTATTCGTCCTGCTCCCTTTTTGTGTTATCTCCATCTCAAGCGCCTCTGTCTCCTCACGCTGGCTGTGCAGACTGACAAGAATGCAGATTCCTCATGAACGCGTAATCTGGACGGCCGGTGAGCGCTGCTGTCCATCCCCCTTCCCTTGTGCTCAGAGAAAGATTGGAAGCGGCCGGCGTTCAAGCTCGCTCAGCCTCCGTTCTCCCGGCATGGGGAAGAGAGGGGGGGACCCTTTTTATTCCTTTTTTTTTTTTGAGCCTCTTGAAGTATTGATCGGCTGCTCTAAACTAGTAAAATGTATATGTGTACGGAGTAGACAGACCGAGTATGCAGGGCAACGGTGCACAGCTGACAGAGTGGCAGATATGACGTGACAAGAGGGATGGTTGAAGGATGCTCAGGTCTAAGGGATGTCTGGCTTGCAGCGCCGTCGGCATCGGCAGCGAGTAACAGGCAGCTCGCCAGGGACATGGAGCTGGAGGGAAGATGGGCATGAAGCAGGCCCTGCTTTGAGGATAGCGGAGTGCAGGTCAGTCCATGGGGTTTGGGATATGCCTATGGATGCCAAAACGACAACAACAACAAGAAGAAGAACAACAACCCAAACCAAGACGAGCAAAAGAATACCCGGACAGATGGACGTTCTGCAGAGCTAGGGAGTTTGATACGTTTGTATCTTATTCGTGCAGAGAGATTCGAGCCTGCTTCGATCCAGCCAGCCAAGGGCGATCATCATGACACAGCCAGCTCAAGCTATATGACGATCCCTATAACGGGAGTCCTCGCAGGATCTCACCAAGACATCTGCCCGTACGGAGTACGGAGGGCTTAGTTGAATATCCGAAAGGGCAACTGACAGGCTCAAGTAATAACCGGCTGTTCGAGGCTGGGGCAGCCTGAGACTGATGCTGGTGGTGTCTGAGCGCAGGCTACCTTGATCTATACACAGGCACCTGGGAGGCAGCAGACTGGTCGACAACAGATCTATAAGCATGATCCATTGGATATACAGCAGGGTGGCTAGCCAAAAGTCAATTAAGGGGCCCGATCTGATCTGTTAAACTACATCCACGATGGAAGCTTGTTGTCCGTCTCCCCAGGTTCGCCGGCAGCCATCGGCCTCGACTCGAGGCTCGTCCCAGCTGCCTGGAAGAGAAGAAAGAAAGGACTGATAGCCCGTCGGCAACTCGCTAACGGAACTACTATTATTCGGCCGCTTTGAACAGGCTGGCGGCGTCGGCTGGAGCCGTAGAGAGAGCCAGAGAGAGAATGGGAGAAGGGAAGCAAAAAGTCAGAGAGGGAAAAAAAAAGGAACAACGGTCAAAGGGGGCAACGGTAGCCATCCAGGTCCATGAGCTTGCTTGCTTTTGCAGCATATTACAGAGCAAAGACATTTCTGGCCTGGCCTGGACTGTGCTGGACATGGAGAGCACATGGAAAATGTTACGTACGAGATATCGCATCCTCCCTATCGCCCGAAGGGGGCTCGCTGAGCTGAGCTGAGCTGATGCACCACCAGAGGCAACGAGCGAGAGAGAACAGGCAAGCAGAGCCATGCCACGGCTAACCCAGGGATCCGCTTGCAATGTCTCTCGCCTACGGAGTACTTACAGCGTCCGTCTCTGCTGCTGCGTTGCTTTGTGTTGGGTTGTCCCTGGGGTTTGCCCTGCCTTGCTTGCTGCCCTCGCTTGACGGCCAACATCAATTCTGACGCCGTGATTGATAACTGAATGCGACTGCCCTCTTCCCATTCGATGAAGCGCCGGTTGTGTTTGCAAGCCGCCTCGCCAGGTCCCTGGGCTAGTCAGTTGGTTGCATCGCTGTGCAATTCCCGTCGTCAGCCTGCGCGATGATATATAGTTGGCGCCCCATGTAATCACTCAACCATCACCAATCCTCGTTCGAGTGAAAATACAATAATAACTAAGTATGGGAGAGCCCATGTACCACCATGTCCACCCATCCCATGCTCATCCCACTTTGGCCCCCTCGCCCTCTCACAGTCTCAATCTTGGGAAGCATCACTTGGCTTCTCACTCGTGGCCTTTTTCCTCTCTTTTTATCCCTTTCTTCCCGCAGTACGGGATTTGGGTGGAACCCCCCCTTTTTTTAAACGCTGCATAAGTCCCGCAAGAAGAAACAACTTCTTCAAGGTTGTTAAGTGTTTGTGCCTGGGGCTAAACAGTAATAATCACCAACCCGGACATCACGGCCTTACGGGAGCGAACGAGCCTGTGTCCGGCTTGCGGCTTACAGCGTTGCAAGGGGGGCCACCGTCGGCATCTTCTAGGTCGGTGTTCCCTCTCGAGGGAATACGGAGTAAAGTTAAGTGATTCCATAACGAAATCCCGCCGAATGTTATGATTGGGACGGAGCAGAAGGCCGACAGAGCAGTTGATGATGATGATGGATGATGTGTTTTCGATTGAGACTGTCCAAGTCCTGGGCCGAGTAGGGCCCCTCCCCTCCCCCTGGCGGGCTATAATCTCCTGTGCTAATTCGACGGGATGCTGTCTCGGTCTTTCCAGGTCTCTGCATGCCATCCCTCGCAGTATTCTATCCGCTTCCCCCTTCCTAGCGCTGGACGCAAGCCTGGCCACGCTGCTTCCAGATTATTCCGGAGACGCATCTTCCCTACGCTCGCATGCCTTAGTGTGGGCAGCAGGCAGCCTCCCTTGGGTCTACCCCTGGAGGTGGGATAGGAATTTTTCCCGCTCTTCTTCTTCCTTTTTTTTTTTTTTTACTTTTCTCTTTTCAAACCCGCAATCTCTAGCCTCTTGGCCGCAGTCCGACTCCTTTGCTGCCTTCTTATTCTGTCGACCATGACAAGGGAGAGGCAGAGATGGCTAAAATTCGAGATGCAAGAGTCCTGAATGTGCACTGGCGGCATGGCTGGACTGGTTTGAAAGACGGGAAGCAAAAAAAAAACGAGGAAATAAAGAAAAGGCTGGAGACATGAAAACCCATCCTTGATCCATGGCGGCGACGTTTTGCTCGTTTGCGCTGGACGGTGGAGTCGCTCTGTATGCTTCTTGCTCTGCAACTGGTGACCGTGATAATCGCCTATAACGTATGAGGGAGGAGGAATTCAGTCGGTATACTTACATATACGGTGTCCCATATTTTCTTTTTAACAGAGATCCATATTGTTTATGCAAAATTGAGGAAGAGATTCGCCTCAGCCAGCTGCTGCAGTTCATCACAGCCGCACAGCCAATCCACAGAGACAGCTGAGCCGTGGAGTCCAGCAATCCATGTATGATTCCATCATCGTCAGTCTCAACCGTCCCTTGGCTGGCATCGAAAGTCGCAGCAGCAAGTTTTCAAGGCGACTGGTGAATTATCACATGTAGCAGAGGCCATTCGTTCTCTTCAGGACCACCCAGGCGTTCATCAGGCATATATCTGGAGA